TGAGAAAGCATCATTAAAATCAAATCTTGACAAGATAAAGCTTGTAGGACAGATCAGTGTATCTTTAGTAACTGACCACAGAGAAATAAAACTAAAGTCTGCCTATAAAAGCCATCATTTTGGCCAAGAAGAGACTTTCATTTCAAGTGCTTCCTATGATTAATGTCATATTTGGTAGAGATTCCAGCACCTTGGGTTGGGTTAAAAAGAAGAAAGTAGCAAATTAAAATGTTCCGGCAGAACTCTCTCTGTTACAGAAATTTCAGACATTCCATTTATCCAGTGGCTGTCCCTGTATATCCCAAATGCAGGTGGAAAAAATGATGCCTCTCCATGGGATTTTTTGTTCCTTCCTTCCAGAACACACACATCTTCCACCCTTTCTTCTGGACAGATACAAAGACACAGACCTCATTTCTCCTCTCCCCCAAACCAAGAATGGTTTAAATAAGAAAATCTGTGGTCTGTGAGAAGGGCATTTTGAAGACTTTTTTTTTTTTTTTTTTTTATCCTTATCTATTTCTTTCTTTCTGTGAACATTTATAAACACACATGTGACATTCAGACCAACATTAGTTCCTGGAAGGAATCATTAATATACTTTTAGCCAACAGTGATTCAGGCTGGGTGACTGGCCTTTCTCTCTAGGCAAGGAAAAATGAGTACTTCTAGAAGGCAATTCAGGATGTTTATCATAAGGTGGGATGAACTACCTTACAGACGTTCCCATCTTCCCTCATGACTGCACAGGAAGCCTAGATAACTGGCTTAGGCTGGACCGCTGAAGGAAGTAAAGTAACGCCCATCATAAATTTACAGCCTAAGCAAATCACCTCATCTCTCTCTAATTATAAAGCAGGACGGCCTCCTCCTTCACCTTGTATCTTAGACACCCATTTTATGGTGAGAGGACTTGTCTCCTGGAGACGTCTGTCTTCCTCCCTGCAGACTACAGCAGTAGACTAGAAGGTGAGGTTAGACTAAACCTGCCTTAGATGCCAACCTTGGGTCTAAGTGTTGGTTGACTAACAGTAAGAGACAAGCACCTCTCATTGCTCCACAGGGATCTCCTACCTGCCTGCATATAGGTACCTGAATGAGGAGAAAAGGCTCCTTCTGGAAGCCTTCAGGTGCTTCTCTTCACTACAATAAATTAAGCCCTTGCTTTGGGAAGGCTGATTTCTTAAGTACCTAAAATACAGGTGCAAATTAGAGGCCAAAGTCAGGCAGACTGGAAGCAGCTGTAGTTGGTGGTGCACTCAAAATAGGGACAGAACCCTATTCCAGCTGCTATTTATCATCCATTTTCTCTTGAAGTTCTACACTGCAGTAATCTTGTATGGGTCACAGTTTGAAGAAGCCGACTAACCACATGATTTCCCTAAGCGCAGATAAAGTGTATCAACTCCTCTGTATGCTCTGTGCCTGAAGGAGCAAGCAGTAAAGCCAAGTACTCAACCCCACACCTGTCATGAAGTAGGCTCAAATATTCACCCAAAAAAAGAATATACTTCAAGGAGTATTTTATGAAGGGAACTTAAGGAAACCTAGCACTCCCCAAATGTTTAATGTTGTATAAAATCATTCCTGAGGCTGCTAGTGATAGCCCCACAGCCCCTGAGGTTATTGCAATATGTCCTACTGTGGGACCAGCCTTGGGCACGCTCCCATCTTCATATCCCATCCCTCCCCTCCACTTCATTTCCCTGCCTTGGTAGGCATAATGAGTGGAGCAGATGTCAGGAACATTTCACACCTGCTGTTCCTAATACACCTAATCCTTTCCAGATGATCTGGCACTGAAAAGGACTAAGGTTGTTTTTTATGGTCAGCTGCTGTTTGGAGGGACATGAACATCGAGTCATGGCTTAGTCTTGAGTGCTGCACAACTCCTGATGGGGCTGGTTACCTGTTTCCAAGAGCACAGTTCTTGGTATGGTACTGAGCTTCGGCTCAGGACTGGACTAACCCAACCTCAAAAGGGCCATGCTTATCTGTTCAGAAGATACATCACATGGAACAAGAACTTCTTTGGACGAGGACTAGAATGCTCAGCACACTGCAGGATTAACTATTTTCTGAAAAATTAAGGTTCTTCAAAGTGCACTGTCATTACCAAATCTGTTTCATAAATAATTTCAGAATTGTTTTGGTCACTCAAACCTGGTCATCATCTTTTCACTACAGTGCAATAAAAATAATGTATTTTCTTCCCTTCTATGACTAATTCTCATCAAATAGCCTTCCTCAAGATGGTTAACACCTCTAGTTCTATTACACTTTTAGTCTGTTCTTTTTTTTCTTCTTTTTTAAGGAGGAGATAATTGATCTTATTTGTTTTTGAACATTTCCCTTTTATCCTTTGGAGACAGTACTTGCTATTCTACCATCAGATTCCAACTTGAACGCACAGTGGAATCAATGGCAGAACATGAGGTTAACAATAACTAGCCTGTGGCAAAGAACAGTCAAAGTAAATACTGTGAGAGATATTCTTTTTCTGCAGGTTTATATGGATGCACATAGCACCCTCATGAACAGATCGTCTTCTCTTTGACGCTTCTGGTGACCCATTGGTGCCTTCAGTTGGAATGGCATAGAAGTTTAGCATGCAATGATTGAAATGGCCATTATATTATGTTTAATATAAAGAAATCTCTTATTTTTTAAGAAAAGCTGCCATTTCTTGTTTTGATTTCTATAGTAACACAAACTGCAATATAAATCACATAAAGCTTTAAGTACTATGTCAAATGAGATACTAACAAATATCAGGAGAGGATTCTAGATGTATTGTATTTATAAACTTAATGACTCTGAACTATAATGATTCTGTATTAAAGGCATGATCCTTCAAAACACTGAGTGTCTCTTGCAACTTGAGTCCTTTCATTGACTTTATGGGGTTTCTAAAAGGACTAGGATTTACACTGCAAGTATCTTCTAAACCAGAAAAACTTTAGGAATTCCACACCATAGCCCTGAGTTTATTGTCTCACAGAGACACACTTACTCAGTTTACAGGTGAGTATCTATTTTTCTCACCTGACAGTTTTGCAAACTCAACTAGACATCAAACTGAATTTTTCCTTATCCAAGCATCATCATCAGTAATAAAGGTATTTTTGCCATGGATACAACTGTGCAACTCCATTAGCTTTCAACAAGGTTACATATGTGCAACTGAGGTTATATAGGGAAGACAACTGGGATGGAGAGACCTGACTGTGGACACAAATAGACCTCTGGATTATTTATTGATGATGATGATGTGAAAGAAGGCAAAAAGTGGTGAGGCTGGCAAATGGGCTAAATCTTGCACTATTTTTTTCTTGTAAAACACTTATGAGCTTTCATAGTCTCTTTTCAGAGCATTTTTAAAGGTTTGGGCTTTTTTGTTTGCTTTAAATGAGTTCCTATCAGAGCAGTGTTCAATCTAAAGTATATCTCCATTTGATAACTAAATAATAAAGCAGCAAAATTCCTGAGTGTGCTTCTAGAAATAGATGCTGTCTGGTGACTTCTGCACACAAGCAGATGTCTTCACAGGAAAATCCAAATTACAGTCTTTGGCCAGTCAGTTAGTGGATTTCTGTAAGTTGATTCTAAGATTTTTCT